ATACTCCAAATGTATGCCAAGGCTTAAAGCAGCAACAACGCTACCCATGTAAGTAAAAATATTTAAGTATCTGAACGAAGAATTCTAGTCTCTTCCCAGATTTGATTGTCCTGACTAATCACCTGTTAGGCCTAATTAATTTTAGAATGTTTTAAAGTATTGCAATTGTGATGTATTTTAATGTATGATGAGGCTGTTGACGAACTGTGGTTGTTTTTTCAATTAATGAAATTTTTTAAACTATCTGTTATGTTAGAAAAACTGATGATGGCGGAAAAATACACCGAAACGTATTTTAATTGATAAATAGAGACAATAAATGACTGAAACCCAGGAATTAATTTTGATTTGGAATTGAAACACAGTCAGGAAAGTATATACAATAAAATTTATTCATGTGGACGCACCTTTATGTTTTTTCATTGCCTACCTAATCACAAATTGCGATTGTTCTTAAGCAGGTCATTTCACAAAATGATAATAAAGCGTACATAAAAACCAATGTGCCTTGAGTCGTCAAGTGAGTAAATTGTTAAACATACGATACCCCAATCGATGGATTGGTCCAGAGGACTTAACTACCACACCAAACATGGTCTCCCAGATCTCCAGATTGTAATCCAATAGACTTATCTACTGGGGAAATTTGAAATAATTGGTCCACCCTTCCAGTTTAGGAGATCAAGACGATCTAAGAAATCTGAGAGCTGAATCTGAAGAATGGATTTTGGCAGCGGTGAAGGGTTTGAATTTGTTTTGTTTTGTCCATACTTGTTTCTATGCGCTATTCATCATACATTTGTAAAATAACTGCCCAGGAACAATCTCAGTTTGTGGTTAAACGGAGGCAGATAATGAGAAAGAAAACGTAAGAAATAACTTTTATTAAGAGTTAAATTATACGTTCAATAAACTGTTTTTTACACAGACATCTGGTTTTTATTTTAAAAATAATGTTACTCTTTAGCCATATGTCTGCTATTAACTAATTTCCGAATTTTTTTTTTGAATGGCGCGTAATTAAAGAAAATGCTTTCCCAAATTTTGCTAGAATTCTAATAAAAAATGTAAACATTTGTGAACTTGGTGGCAACCTGTTGATCGGTAAGGAAGCATTTTTGACCGAAACGAAGCTGAGGAAAAACCTTTGTACTCAATTATAAAACAGCCTGTACATCAAACATTTTGCTTTGCTATAATTGCTGACATGTTTTGGGGATTTTCAGTTTAAAAAAAGTTTTGAGTGATGAAATACTTGAATTTATTGATTTGATTTGAAAATCAATCACACACATCGCCGCCTCAAAGTGTCCACACTCCTTTGCATGGGGTTGCGTTTCTACAACCAGAGTGTGAACAAACATACGAAATTCAAACTGAGATTTAGTCATTTCGGAAATTCTATTTACCTCTCTTGTTATTGATGGTTGTGTTTTCAGAAAAATGCAATCACGAGCGGCTGTTATAACTCAAGACTCGAACGAAAGTTTATTGGAAATTCCACTACAAGAACTACAAAGACGACACTCCGAAGCAAGATTGGGATCGTCTGGTGGGGCTCTAACTGTGGGCAGTGTAGGAAGCGGTTTGGCACCACCTCGAAGTCCAGAGTTGAGGAGACATTCCGATGTATCGCCCGCGTCTCTAAAAGAACTGGAAAAGGTATGCAAACTTATACATTTTTTATCTTTCGGACATAAGAAGTGAGTTATAGGAAGCGAGTTCGAATTTTTAATAACCTTTGGACTTTGGAAGAAATTTTGAAGCTTCTTTGGTGCAAATGATAAAAGTAAATTGCATGCCCTATTGAGAGCAGGAGTTTTACTTTATTGAAAACGTCTCTGAAACTTTCTTTTCGGAATAGATTGATTTAAGTCGAAGCGAACAGATAGAAAGACGAAATGGTGCTCAAACTTTTTTTTAAAACAAATGGGGCTTAAAGATTTGCACTATAATGCAGCGAGAGGGCCAAGTGCCAAGAGCATCGTTTACGCACCCTGTGAAATTGGATTTATTCAGCTTTCATTGCATTTTTATTTAAAACTCCGCGGGTAGTTCAGACGCAACTTGAAATCGGCACTTATTGAGACATTTGCTGATTGTTTGCCTGCTTTTTTTTCGGCCGATTTCAAAAATTGAAATTGCACTTTTACGCTTGTAAAGTTGCGCTGTGCTGTGTAGTTTTATTCGAGACACCCCATAATAGTCCAGGAGCAAATTAGCTTGACATTTTCCGGTCGATATCCAAATTTCAAAGCACGTTTGAAAGCCAGTGAAATTACATTTAATCAGCTTTAATTAGGAATTTGCACAAACATTTAATTTGAAAAATATTACTCGCAAACGTAACTTAATACTATTAAAAACACCACAGTTTGCCAAAAAACTATTTTTTTATTTATATGTAATTAATATAAGCAATTAAAAACTGTATAATTAAAATCATTCTTGTATCGCGCCGTCATTGGCTGGGACCAGTTGTGACGTCAAGCGGCTCGTCGTGCAACAATGCGGAGCATGTAAATATGGAACCTCAGTCTTGATATTGTTGTTAAAACGTTTCTATAGTGTATTAGGAGAAAAATGTTTTTTTTTTAAATGACAGACGCATGTTTTGTAAAAGAACAATCTGACATCTTACCACTAGTGGATATGTTTATGGTGGCATCTAACATTAAAAGCACCGAAAGACTTACTCTTGCTGAAGTTCGCGGTGTTAAAGCTAACAGGTAGATTTATAGGCAAAATAATCAATAGTTTTTCTTGTGTAAATCGAAAAAAAAATAAAAATTCTAACAGTGCCTATTGAACAAAGTGTAAGTAATATTGTGTTTATATTGCTTCCATTATTAATAAAGCACAGCACGAATTCTGAACAGTCAAACATCCAGACAATTCAACGACAAGCCGTATTTCCGTATTGCCTTTCGAACGAACGACCAGCGCTATGACGTCACGACCATTCACGTGCATTTAGTATCGTTTCAAATGAATAGCCTGCGGCCACAACTTCAATTGTTTATTGCAAATTAAATATTGCGATTTGAGGGCTGAATTTGGTATGCCCGATTTCTATAAATAGGCAAATTTATTAAAAAAGAATGTTCCAACTCATAGTCCAGGCGCAAAATGAAATCGGCACTTATTTACACAATTGCGGATTGCTTGCTTGCTCATTTTTTGTATATACCGCGGATCATAGGAATATTCTAATACCCCGCACAATTTTTCATCGACTATAAAATGTTTGTAACTTGTTTTTTTCAATAAATTGGATCTATAGTTTCTGGCATATTTCATCCCAAAAAATACAAGAAAAATGCGCTGAAAAATTTTCATTATTATTTAATATAAATTACTAATGCGCCTAATGTTCGCCGATTTGTTCACGTTAGTAGAAATTTTGAACGAGTTGCAAGGAATGGAAAAAGTGTTGCCCTCAGCAGTTGCCTCAGAATTCTGTTTAAAAGCGGAAGGTTTTCGGAGGAATGTAATATTTTCTGATGAGTCGAAGTTTAAGATATTTGGGTCGGATGTTCGACAATAGGTGCGGGGAAACCCACATGGATAACTGCCAAGTTAAAGTTTGTTTGCAAAGTGAAACACGGGGGCTTTCTTAGGATCTGGAGGTATATTTTCTTATTTGGTGTGTGCGAATTAATATTTATTGATGATTCATTGGGCAAAATGGGAAATTTAAAAATATTAAAGAATAGCCTGTTACAAAGTGAGTCTGAAATGGGAATAAGAGAGGATTTGCCAGCATGGATAACTGTCCAAAAGGAATTAAAACACCTGCCAATTCCCAGATTTAGAAACCAAAGTCCGACAGCATAATAATACTAGTACACTTCAGTTGAAACAGAGGGGCAAAATTGCTACAGAATTTTTACAGAAAGTCATATTTTCCATGCCCAAACGTCTAACATTTGTGTTAGAAGAGAAAGCTGGCCAGGCTATATTTTAATCTTCTGTTTTGCAATTCTAATTGTTCTTCAATGAAAATGTTTTTATTTAAAATTATTCCTTTTCCATTTGGTTTCTTGGTTAATAAAAACTTTTCCATGCGTTATTCTAGCATCGTTTAAGACGAAATACTAGACATTACACAACCAATCAATTTAAATAAATAAATAACAAACATTTCAAATTTCTGAAGGAATTTCACATTATGCGGACTGTCCAAATATTTTTGTGGCCATATAGATGGCACGAAACTAGAAAACTTTGACTATTATAGAAGGTGTTTCTTTAGGAAGCGAGCTTATTTTAACCACGTATTCTAGGTCCGAAAATAACCCCAGTTTGTTATATAAACGATTGCCCAAAAATAGTGTTGAAATTTAATTTGAAAATTGCAAAATGATAAATTTCTTCAACACGCATGGAGCTGTTTTAACGACATCCAGGCATCAATTTTTCCAATCCAGTTTTGCTATAATATAATTTCAGTAATATCAGGATTGTTGCTGATGAATCGCTTTCACCCGAGTTTTTCTCTGTTTAAAGCCTCTATGTTTTCCCACTGTTAATCTTTCCAACCATGTTTGCCTGTATTCGATTTCAATGTCTCCTGAGCGTATGTGTCTTTCCGATGTTTTGTTTGTGATAATTGTGATCCATACCATTTTCAGCTTAAAGGTGGTGGCTCTAAAACCCCAGATTCCGATTGGAATAGAGGTGGCCGATCTCGAGGTGGCTCGCGAGCTAACAGCCCACCAAGAAGTTCCGACGTTCTTCCTCCAGCTCCTAGATCACGACGTGCATCTCGTGTAGCTAGACAACACAGCTATGACGATGAAGTTAAGGCCACTCTTCTTCCGGGCGGAAGTAGTCCAGGTGGAGGCGAATCCGGATTGGCACTCCCACCTCCAATGCCTAGAAGGGCCTCTGCCTATGATGTCTTTTCCGGTAATTACGCCAACCGAAGCATTGGGCTAATGCGCAAATGCATAATGTTTCCTTCCTTAAAGTTCCAGGGCTTAGTACAGTTACTCAGCCTAATAATATGGGACGTCGAGCTTCATTTAGGGCTCCAGCACCTGAGCCGTCAAGTCCACCTAGTCCTGATTCAACCCCAACAATGGCTCTAATTGCGCCAGAAGATGATCGACGGACCAGGAGAAGAGGATCATACTTGTAAGTATGAATCCAGTTTGATCTTCAAAAAGTAGGCTTAGGTTCATGACAAAATAAATTGGGCTGTTTTATTATTTTTGCACCCAGGAGCTTACTTTTCGAATTATGCTAATGGGTGCTAGTGAATGATATTCGCAGATTCGTGTGTTAAACTGCTACGAACAGCCAATCTAACATAGCAGACATTATCATATTAGATTCAGCAGGTTAAGATGTTAAGTTAGGTTTGCACGGTTCTAACATCAATCTAATACGGCGAATCTGCCATCATTCCGCTTTAGTAATGATGGAAATATACAGCTTTATGTTTCTGTGACTATGCTAAAGCGTTCGACTGTGTGTGACAGTGGCCAGTCCTCCAGTATGAATTTAAGCAATTGTGATTTACATCTTTCGAACGCGGTTTGAGCGTGCGTTTTTCTCTGTTGAGAAGAGGAGTGTTATTCCCCGACCTTCTGGAGGCGGCCGCCGATGTTTTCTCGCGAGAGTTGAAGATTATGAAGAAAGCATTTATACATTTGCTCAGGAGTTGCAGTTTCTCCTTGGTCCTCTCGGTGTGGGACGTTAAGTTAGTTATTCTGATAAGCATTTGAAAACATTAACCTAGTGCTGTTTTACGTCTGGGGTCTGGAAGCGCTTGCCTAAACCTATTTTGTAATTGAGCCGTTAATCTTCAGGCAGTCAAGCTATCCTCTTTGATAATACCTATTATGAAAGCAGTATAAACAGTTCTGTCATACATAAATGACTCGGCCTGGGCTTTCTCAACAATGTGGACCTTTATATGGGACAAAGGGAACTTTGTGTGAGCATTAAGCAACATACATGCCTTAAGCACACTGGCGACCGATCTGGGCGATGTGATGCTGAAAGTGGCGAATAGTATGTAGTCTGTGGTGGCGATGCGATCGAATCCGAGCGAGTGTGTATATAGAACGCGATTTTTTAGTGCTTTTGCGGGGTTAAACGTCTTATTTTCCATAGATTTTATAGTTCTTGGAGACACCGGTAAAAAAGAAAGTAAAAAAGTAAAAAAAATCAAGAGAAAAAAATGGTCACATGAGATTAATCTAGCTGTTCGAAACTGAAAAAATCCTGGAAACTTCCAGAGATTTTCTATTACAGTGACTTTTCCCTCACTTAAAGCAGCGTATTTTCGCTTTGGAGTTATTATAGATTATGGGCCCAATTAAGGAATTTTTTGTTTTACCTTGGCGAAATTCTGAAAAATCGGGGTTGTCCAACGGCCAATCGCTTCGATTTAGTATCCGAAAAAATCTCTCCCAAACTAACCCAAAAATTTATTACCCTATTAAAGTGCGTTTTTCTACACTTAAAGCATAGGATTTTCTCTTTCAACTGATGTTATGGGCCCCATTGTGAGATTTTTGGATTTTTCTTGTCAAATTTAAAGAAAAATCGTGCTTCAATTTAGGATCTGAGAAAATCCTGAAAACACCCAGAAATTTCCAGAAAAGTGAATTTTTCCTGACTTAAAGCAGCCGATTTTCTGTTTCGAGTGATGTTATGGGCCGGGCCGCATTCAGGAATTTTTCGTTTTTTCTTGGAAAATTTTTGAAAATCGTGTTTATTTTACTCAGTTTAGTAACTCAAAAAATCATAGAGGCTCCGAGAAATCTCCTATTAAAATGTGTCGTTCTACATTTAAAACAGCGCATTTTCTTTTTCAAGTGATATTATGAGCCAGATTGTCGGATTTTTGGCTTTTTTTGTAAAATTTTTGAACAATTCGTGTTTTTAAACAGCCAATCGCCTTGCCTCAGTAACTGAAAAAATGCTGGAAACTTTCAGACATTTCCTATTAAAGTGGGATTTTCCTCACTTAAAGCAGCAGATTTTTTTCCGCTTCGAGTGATGTTATGGGCCGCATTTAGGAATTTTTGGTTTTTCTTTGCATAATTTTTCAAAACCTCGTGTTTACCAACGGCTCCATAAAAGTGAGCTTTTCAAAAAAAGGTCAGCTGTAATTAGTAAAGTTCCATTTTTAAGGAAAACTGGTTTAGATTAGTTGCGTTACTTTCAATAAACTCTTTCATTTTAGTTTTATAATTTCTGTCGTCAAAGCTAGGGCCGGGCAGGTCAAAGAAAAGAACACATATCGACTTAGAACAATTTAGTTAGCGTAACTGCTAAATAAAATTAAACTTAATGTTTTCTTGTCCTTCCATCCTCAGACTAGATACCTAATGTATCTTATCTCTTTCAGGTTTCGAGCTAAAGTTCGAAGACACTTCTTCGTCAAGAAAAGGTTTTCTGTGTTAAATTATTCGTTCAAACTGTCGAAAATGCACAAGTAGATAGATTCCACCTGCTTAGAAATGCACATAGGATGTGCACATTAAATAGCAATATTACGTGTTTTTTAGAAGGGCGTTTTTTACAAGGCGGTCCTCGACTAATGTGACAAAATACACTCACATACTGTTTAAGCAAAAATATTGCATTTCAGGCAAATTTGTTTTATTTGAAATTCATTAGAGTTCGAGATGCAGGGTGTGAAATTGTAAATAAAATTTCCGTTTTGCTTGAGTAGATTCTTCACCAGTATTACTGTTGCCCAAAAAAATTGGGTTTAGGGGTTTCTAATATCGAGAAATCAAAATTTTCGGTTACTTAGCGTGCAGTTCCAATAGTCTGAAGTCATTTAAGGCAACAGAAATTGTTTTAGTTTTGTAATATTGCTTTTGTGTTAGGAATTTCTGGTTCCCCAGTATCTTTTTTTCATTAAAAAAATGTATTGGTCAAGTGGTAATTACTCTCTATTGATTTTTTGAACAAACGGAAACTGGATCCCATTATTGTCGAAAATTTACATTTTTAACATGAACAAAATTTATTTTACTGTCAGCTAAATGTTAAAAAAATATTTACATTTCTGCTATTACATTGCATTTATTGAAAATGTCTCAACATTTTTTTCAAACAAATAAGTATTTAATGCAATGAATGCAACACTAATTTATTTAAAGGTTTAATAAATGTATTAAAGTCCGAGGAATTCAGACTTTATTTAATTTAAAAAGAAGCTTCAAGTATCATAGTTATTAACGTGCCTAAACAAACTCTGAATATTTCTGTTTTTTTAAGATCCAATTTGAGCCAAGTGAGCATTTTTTGTTTAGGAACAAATAAAAAGCAAAAAATCCGATATTTGAAAACCCAAAAAAAATCTGCTGTTTTAAATGACATGACCAGACTATGGAAGCTGCAAACTAAGTAGTAGAAAATTAACATTCTTCGATCTAAAAATCCCCAAAAACAAATTTTGTTAGTAATAGAAATTGCCATTTAGAAGCCATTCAAGAAAAACAAATATTTCATTTACCTTGTGACACTCTGTATCTCGGAAACTATTGGATAAGAGAATCTTTTCAGATAAACTTTTTTGCCTAAAAAAGTAAGGTAAATTTCATCACATTAGTCGAAGAACACCTTGAACATGTCCAATAAATCTTATTCTTTGTGTGCTGATTTATACAACTAACGTTAAACTACGTTTCAATAGGTTTAATACCTGTAGTAAAATCTCGAGGAAATTTTCTAATAAGCTTTACTAAATCGTGGAAAGTGAACAGGCCGATCTAAAGTATCGAACAATTTTCAACCTAAAAAAAAACTTCCGGTTTTAAATTTTGATTTATTTGAATTCATGTCATCACATGTTTCACTTTATTCTAAAAAACTTGTCCAAGTAATCACTAGACTCAGTCTAAGCCTGTAAGGTTGAAGTCGCCTTACGTGCCACTATTCGATGACTGCTTCTTCAACAGGTTACTTGTCGCTGCTGGTGCTACTGCTGTGTTTATACTATTCTAATCTGTGATCTCTTTCGTTTTAGAAATCAGGTTCGTTAAAGAGAATTTCATTTGGAGTCAATGCCACAACATTGTCGAGCTTTTTGTCTATTTTAACCTACAGCTTCTTCTGGGTTTTGTATAGCTGAAGCTCAGCTGCATGGAATCCTGTAGACCACATAGACTGCTCGATGATCTCTTTTCTCTTCGGCTAATCTAAGGCTCTGTTTAATTGTTCTTTTAGGATTTAAGATGGTTTTTCTCAACTCTCACTAGCGTTCCATAGACATAGGATGGCATATAATTTACCATAAATGGTAGATAACCGCGTTGTCCAATAACCTACCAACTAAGCTTCTGTTCACACAGAAAATGCCCTACAGTTGATAGTTATGTTATAAGTGGCATTTATTTTCAAAAGAGGCCACAACTTGTTGTTTGCTGTCTTATGATCATATGGTATTAGTGGACATACAGTCCAAAAATGTATGCGGAAATAGGCCTGGCTATCACTGTGTTGAGTTGCGCTTTTGAGTTGTTGACGCTCTCTGAGTTAATGAGTTTTAACTCATTGGTTCCGATGACGGAATTTTAACATCTAACAAAAAAGCCATCAACATATTGCTTTTGCGCATACGATTGCTTCAAACTATTTGGTTTAAAGCGGGAGAATTCGGAAATTTTGAAGAAACTTAAAAAAAAATCGGAGCGATGAGGGTGACGAGCTTTCCAAATATTGATTAAATATTTTTGCATTTGCTGGTCGTTTTTTGAAAAAACTTAAATTTAGTTGAAAAAAAAACAAGATAACTCTGTTTCGATTTTGTCCCAAATTCTAAGGTAAAACAGGAAAAAGAAGACCAAACTATAAAGATGACGACTTTTCTTGTAAAATCCATCTTTGAACTTTTTTGCTCAAAAGGATCTCAGTTTGCCAGTATTTTACAGTAAAACGTGAGGAAAAAACGCGTTGTTCTGTTTCTGTGAGAGTTTTGTTTAGAAATATTGATTTAGTGTGACTTAGTGAAGCAACCCGAATTTAAATAAACCAACTTATTCACAGCGGCAAAAGTGGTGAGTTTTCCGAATAATTGATTATAAACTTTCACTTGTTCTCTTCGGGGAAATATTTTGGGAAAAAATACAGAAAAAATTATTAGGGTTTTGTCCAAAATTCGAATCTGCAAAAGGTTCCAGAAAAAATGTTAAAATGTATTTTATAATTTTCACAGCAAATACCTGAAAGAATTGCTTAATAGAAACTTTCTTAAAATTGAAATGACCTGAAAATTAAAAAATACTTGAAAAATCTTAAGTGATGAGGGTGGCAAATTTTCAAACAATTTTTTGGAAACTTTTGCTCTAGACGTTTTTTGAAGATAATCTTAATTACTTTCGGTAAAAAACTAAATACATTTATTTGGTTTTTGTGCCAAATTCGAAGCTGAAAAGGGTTTTCTAAAGTTCCCTGCAAACCGATGAATGAAGTCACTTTTAGCTGAAAAGACCTCATTATTGTCAGAAAAGAGGAAAATCATCAGAAAATAATGTTCTTTTGCGTTTTTGAATAAAAACTTTTAGTTTTAAAACGGTAGAACTTTATTTTCGTTTTTGTCCCGAAATCGACGTTGAAAAAAGTTTTTGTAAAATTCCTACAAAGCTATTCCAGATCGTCAGTATTTTTAAGTAAAACTCTACAAAATAGAGCATTTTTGAGTGGAAAGTCTACAGTCTTCAGAGAAATGCAGGTGACGAGTTTTCAAAATAATTTATTATAAACTTCCGCTGATTCTGTTCGTTTTTTGATTGAAATTATTTGTTTCTTGTCACAAATTTGAAGCTGGAAAGGGATTTCAAAACTTTTCTCAAAGCGACGAAGGCGGCGATGTTCTAATAAAATTTATTTCATAAGTTTTAGCGAAAAATGCTTTATGATTGTCGTATTTTTAAGAGAATCTTTAGCAAATTGAGCATTGAGAAAAAAGAGTAACTTTGCTAAAACTGAAAAATTCTGACATTTTGAAGAAATGTTGAAAATATTATTGATAAATGGCTCTTAAAATAAATCTAAAAACAAGCGAAAAAAGTCATCAACATTTTCCCAGCAACGGAAGTGAGTTACTGCGCCAACCCAGTCGACTCGCCTTAGTAACTCAAAAAATCCTAGAGGCTCCGAGAAATCTCCTATTAAAATGTGTTGTTCTACATTTAAAGCAGCGCATTTTCTTTTTCAAGTGATATTATGAGCCAGATTGTCGGATTATTGGCTTTTTTTGTAAAAATTTTGAACAATTCGTGTTTTTCAACAGCCAATCGCCTCGCCTCAGTAACTGAAAAAATGCTGGAAACTTTCAGACATTTCCTATTAAAGTGGCATTTTCCTCACTTAAAGCCGCGGACTTTCTCTTTCGAGTTATACATATATTATGGACCGGATTGAGAAATTTTTGGTTTTTTCTAGACGAATTTAAAAAAAATCCATGTTGTCCAACGACCAATCGCTTCTGAATTCTGAAAAAATACTGAAAAAACTGAAAATTTCCCAATAAAGTGAGTTTTTCCTCACTTAAAGCGGCATATTTTTTTCCGTTTTGAGTGATGTTATGGGCCGCATTTAGGAATTTTTGGTTTTTCTTTGGATAATTTTTGAAAATCTCGAAAAAGTTCCTACAAAGCTATTCCAGATCGTCAGTATTTTTAAGTAAAACTCTACAAAATAGAGCGTTTTTGAGTGGAAAGTCTACAGTCTTCAGAGGAATGCAGGTGACGAGATTTCAAAATAATTTATTATAAACTTTCGCTGATTCTGTTCGTTTTTTGATAGAAAATTATTTGTTTCTTGTCCCAAATTTGAAGCTGGAAAGGGATTTCAAAACTTTACTCAAAGCGACGAAGGCGGCGATGTTCTAATAAAATTTATTTCATAATTTTTCGCAAATAATGCTTTATAATGAAAAAGAGATCAACATTTTCCCAGCAACGGAAGTGAGTTACTGCGGCAGTGCGTTGGGTTGGCGCAGCAAGCCATTTGCGTTGCACTGTGCCAATTCCTAAAAATGTATTGAGATACCCAAACCTATGCGGAAATGACGATATTAACAAATCAGTCGGGAAATGTACAAATTCCAAATCTGCAGTAACCAGCAACCATGCTCGTTTTCGATAGGGAGCATTGCCGAATCTCTTCACCTTTGTAGGTTCATAATCGAGCTTCTAGTTTTGAAACGTAGGTAGATTGGTGTAGAATGCACCATTTAATTATTAATCTTCTAGAGTGGAATATTTTTATTTCAGGCCAGATGTTGGCGGACTCAGACCTGCAGTTCCTGTCAGACCTACTCCGGCTTTGGAGGATCTTGAAGCGGCTCCGCGCCGCCAAGCTTCAGTGGACGCAGAAGCCATACGCATTGTTATCCATGATGTTGACAGTGGTTCTAGCAGCGCAGCTCAGAAACGAGTAATTCTCAGAAGGGATCCTAGCGACAAGGCTCATAGAAGTAAGCCCAATAAAATAATAAGGGGTAGATAAGCATGGTACTGGGATTTGCAGTGCATTTTAGCCAGCCGGGTGGCCTCCTTAATTTTAGATAAAAGATATCAAAGAACAATGTTGCAGGTATTTAGAAGCAGATGTAAAATAATAGATGCTGATACAGAGTGTCTCATAGAAAGGTCACAGTCCGAACTTACAGGGTTTCAAAAAGTACAATGTCCTGCTTTAAACGCATTTTCGAAATTTGCTTTAAATATCATTGTCGCTAGTTATTTTCAACAAATACCTAATCAGAGCAAACGGTCAATTTTTCCAACAGGGCTTTGAATAAAATGTATAATAAACTTTACTTGAATAAAGTTTTATAATTTATGTATTGGAATATTTAGCGGCGGTAATGTGAATTCGGCCTGTATGCCCTTCATTTCTAGATTTCACTCAAACACTTCCTTTTGTTTTTCATAAAATTATACCTACTCCAAAATATGAGTTAAATGTACAAACGTGGAATATTTGGCAAATACGCAAAAGTATGTTCTTTAATTTTGTACTTACTCTATGAGCAAGTCCATCTAAACCTTTCCTGTTGTGGATTTAGCCTGTATTACTTTCTTTATCTATTATCTCCAGATGGAGTTCAAACACTCTTAAGTAATTGACGAAATTATGCAAATAAGTATACACTAAATAGTTGAAAAAGGGAACGGCATACGCCATAATGCTTTCAAGGCGCTGCCCGTGAAATGTATGTTAAACTTATTTGCTCATTTCTCTTCTACGATGCTCCCAATATCGAGCCGAGAAAAACGGCAGACGGGCATTCCTAACTTATGGAATTTCTCTCCATGAAACGTGACTCTTCAGGTCTACATTTATGCATCCGAAGGATGAGTATTTATGCCTTGGACCTTTTTGGAGTGCGATTTGCAATATTATTGAAACGTGCGTTAAACTTATGATCTTTGCCTGATGGAACGGTGGTTTCTCTACATTAAATCGCCGTAAGTTAACCATCAAGGGCTTGAAGCTTATTGACATACAAAAAAGTTAAAGTTGCATAAACTCTTATTATGATCGTAATTTTTTTGTTTGGATTTCTTCCAGGAAATTTGTTCTGTTGCAAATTTGAGAGGAATAATGACTACTTCGTTTTCAGCTCGTGGCTTTGGAATGAGGGTGGTTGGTGGAAAAACCAGTACTGACGGTCATCTTTTTGCCTACATCGTATGGACAGTTCCAGGAGGTCCAGCGGAGAAAGGCGGACTTCAACAAGGAGATAAGGTGAGCGGTCATGTTAAATTATAATTTAAAAAATTATATATTAACATAACGTAAGGCTGGCTATGCAAGTCTCGGCCTGGGCTTTTATTTGGTGGTGTGGACAATGGACATTCCTGTCCAATACACAAGTGACAACAATTACCAGCATTGTGGCAGAATGGTCGGGATCCGCATTTTATTCTCTCTGAAATAGAATACATTTGATTGTCTCATATTGGGAAGCTGAGAAGGGATTTTATGCCAGTTCCTAAAACCGGCTGTAATTTGTGTATTTTTGAAACATAGAATGAACTGCTTCTTACAGGTTCTGGAGTGGGGCGGAGTGTCTCTAATTGATAGGAATTTTGAGGAAGTATGCGCCATTATGGATCACACGGGCGAAACTGTGGAATTGCTAGTTGAACACGCCACTGACTTGCGAATGTGCGACTTTCTGGACGAACCCCCGCTGCCACCTCCTTCATCTAGAAAGCCATCGGAAACCAGCATATCAGCGCTCCATGTTGGTGAGTTATTGAGCATACATTTTGTTAATCACCAATATAAAGTATTTATCTCAAGAGTGTGATAATTGCAATTTGCCTTCATCTCACAGAGTACAGCTTTTCTACTTTACTTTTGATTTTACTTGCGTTTTTTCCACAGTGAATACTTTTCGGGGGTAATTGCACAAGTGCTTCAAAATTACCGATAATTTTGAATGAAAGCTTGTTGTCTAAAAACTGCATGAGTTTATTTTCATATTGTGGCGAAAAATTCATATTTTTATATTTT